ACTTGATTTTTATTATTTTTTTATATTTTTTATTTGTGCCTCTTCTTCGTCTCTCGTTCAGTTTTGTTTGAGACTTTAAACCACGAGAGAAATGTGACTTTATTTCAGCGTTTCAAGGAAATAGGGAAGATGACCATGGGTTGGCGAGTTATGAACAATTCCGTCTAAACATTTCAATAAACGTATGAGGCAGTGACATAAAGTGATTTCGTCCCCATTGATCGGCATCAGACGGCTGCCTGTCACGCCTTGGGTAATCTGTCACACCAATGGAAATATTCTACCTGAACATATCTTCTGAAATGGCCAATGCGTCTTTGGCAGCTTGGATGTCCGTTCATTTAGTTGTTGTTTTTAAAAAAAAACTATTTTATGGCTTGTACCGCGTCTTGAAACGGAATTTGATTTGACCCATAAAATGAACACCGTGTCAGGTTGGCATACAAACTAAATTCACGTGCTAGTATGTACTTAATATGTAACCATTCCTCTTAAAACATCTGGTCCTAGCGTCACGTCTCAAACTAAAAGTCATAATGATGTACTTAATCTGTAACACTACCTCTCCAAACACACGGTCTTTTCGTAAAGTCTCAAACTAACACGAGTAAGTATGTACTTAATATGTAACGCTACCTCTACAAACATATGGTCTTTGCTTCACGTCTCAGACTAACACTAGTTATTGGTGATTTATTCCGTTCTAACCAAAGGATGAGTTATTTACCCCGGCACTTCTATCATAACCAAAGTACCGCAGCAATTTCGGTCCAATCCCTGGGGTCCAAGCTGTCTGCCATAGAGTCAGCCACGTGGTGGAGAAACCTTATTTTAAACATCAGAGATTTTTTTGTTATTTGCGCTACCAGCATTCTCAATTCCCCTTCCCCCCCCCTCTTTCTCCCCTCTCTCTCTCTCTCTCTCTCTCTCTCTCTCTCTCTCTCTCGCTCTCTGTCTTTCTCCTTTCTTGAGTCAGCCACGTGGTGGAGAAACCTTATTTTAAACATCAGAGATTTTTTTGTTATTTGCGCTACCAGCATTCTCAATTCCCCTTCCCCCCCCCCTCTTTCTCCCCTCTCTCTCTCTCTCTCTCTCTCTCTCTCTCTCTCTCTCGCTCTCTGTCTTTCTCCTTTCTTTCTGTCATTCTTTATTTCTCTACTTCCCTCCCCCATCTTTCTCTCCTTTCTTTCTCTTTGACTATTCCTTTCTTCTTCCTATCTCTTTAGTTCTCTTTTATTTCGAAGGGAGACATAGATTAAATATTTGATAGACGCAGGATGAGTTCAAATTTCTTTTCATTCGATAAGTAATCCTAAGTATGGGTAATACAATAAAATGTCCTGTTTTTTTTTGTTTTTTTTTGTCAGCGTTTAAAAAAAAAATGTTTTATCATGACAAGTACTATGTCTGTCTGTTTCAATCTCTGCTTCAGAAAAGCTTCCCCTTATATTTTGAACGTTGCAAAGATCTGACATTTGATACGAGGCCTGGTCTGAATTTTTTTTTTTTTAAATTCATATTTCGTCCGATCATTGCTTTGCCTGTTTCGAAATACATCTATTTTAACGATTGAGGCTGCTTCACTTTGGCTTGATATGAAAAACAAACAACGTTTATTAAAAAAAAACAACCAAGCAAATGTTTTGTTGAACAATGTTTAATAGGAACTAGCTGGCGGTTTCATTAAAGAAAAAATGTTTCTGTATTATTTATAACACACTGCGGCACTGTTGTTCATTGTACTCTGTTTAAACCGAGTGATGACGCCATCATTTTTTGTTGAAATTCCGATTCCAGACCTCCCTAAAATTTAATTTAATTTAATTTATTCACATCAAGTTTTTAAAATAATTTAGTGGTAATCACACTATTCCCATGGGTTACTATCAGGAGTATCGAAATAAACAGAGGATTAACACAAATAAGATGACTTGATATAAATTGAAGACTAATATATGACGATGTCAAAGATTAACCAAAAGGAATTGAAGCTAAAGAAGATGTACAATTTATAGATAATGACCTCCAATTTTTGTGTGAAAGCGTTGGAATATGTGATTTACATCAAATTAATGCGTTTTCATGAGTAAATGTATATAAATCAATTGAAATGGGAAAACTCATTTGAATGATTAGCTTTAAATAAACATTATGATGATCTTTACATAATCATGATTAACAGGTGTGACATAAACGCCTTTATACAAAAAACTATAAAGAGAACAGCATAATTTAATGGATGACGTTGAATAGATGCATGGCATCGAGTTAATGTCGAAACTAATGGTTTTGAGATTATATCAAAGATCTTAATTTAACTTCTAACACCATTTACCTAGACTTAACATAGACTTTTGAGAGTTAATATATACAAAAGAAGTATGATCAACACACTTATATGAGTCTTTCATAATATGAATCTATAAGTTTAATAAGGGTTAACCTGAAAGTTATATAAACGTAGCCGATTTTTTTTTTAAGGTTGGGGGGGGGAGGGGGGCTGTTGGGAGAGAGAATGAAGACTCTTGAGCCCGATGTCAAAATCAGTTTTTTAAATGTGAAAATAAAAATAAGAAGCCTTTTCATTTTTTTTTAACCCCCGTTTAATTATAAGAATGGGAAAACTCAACGCACTGACCACACTAGCTCAGCTTTCAGCACCACCAAACAACCCGCTTGAGATGGCCAGAAGTCTCCGAGCTAATCCCCAGCTAACTAGAGCGGACGGAATGACCAGTGTTTTCCATAGGCCCCCGGACTGAGGACTCCGTGGACACGTAGCTTAAGTTTGGTGCGCCGCCACGACGTCAGTGCGGCTCGACGGGTCGAATCTGAACACCGAACAGTCTTAACTGCGTAGTCACCACGCGGGTCGAACACAGTCACAAGTCAATAAATAATTTGTTACGGGTTTGGTGGCCTCTCTTGTTCGTTCTATCTCATCTCCCTGGCCAATGACAGGTTCTAGTACTTCCTATTGACAGGTTCTAACACTTGTTATTGACAGGTTCTAGCTCTGGTTATTGACAGGTTCTAGCTGTTGTTATTGACAGGTTCTAGCACTTTTTATTGACATGTTCTAGCTAGTACTTGTTATTGACAGGTTCTAGCTCGCGTTATTGACAGGTTCTAGCACTTGTTATAGACAGGCTCTAGCACGTGTAATTGTTGTGATCTAGCAATGGTTTTCGGCGCGATCTAGCATTGATCATAGACGTGATCGTGTCCTGGTTATTGACGTGATCTAGTGCAGTTAATTGACTGGTTCTATCAGTTAGAATGAATGTAATCTAGAACTTGTTATTGGAGTGATTTCTCACTTGCTAGTGACAGATTCTGGCACGTATAATTGGTGTGATTTAGGACTTATTTGACATATACCTGTATTTTAAGTTAGGATTCCTAAGTCTTTAAATACGTCCCCATTTTAATGAAAGCTTCATTTAAACTATATTAATAGAATGGTCCATCTACAGAAGTATCGATGTCTAATCCCAGGCAAGTCCACAATGATTTGAATGCTTATAAGTTTGCCCAATCCTACGCATCTCCATATCTCATAGATTGAAAAGATGCACGTCTTCGTGAGCGGCGAAACCAAGCTTTTCAACAACAGTTTTCAGACCACAACCGATACAATATTCTTCACACTCATGTATTGGATGAAGGCTTTATGGTATAATAAGTTATCACATCTCAAACGCTGTTGTGAAATCAAAGTGTTCGGTGCTGGTACAACAGCGCTTGGTACAGGAGCGCTTGGTACAGGGGCGCTTGGTACGTGGGTGCTTGGTACAGGGGTGATTGATACAGGAGCGCCTGGTGCAGGAGCCCTTGGTACAGGAGCGCTAGGTACGGGAGCCCTTGGTACAGGAGTGCTTGGTACAAGAGCGCCTAGTACAGGAGCCCTTGGTACAGGAGCGCTAGGTACGGGAGCGCTTGGTACAGGAGTGCTTGGTTCGTGAGCGTTTGGTACGGGAGAGCTTGGTACAGGAGCCCTTGGTACGGGAGTGCAATCCCTGCTGTGATGGGTGTGTTGCGACCGCGGTAATATTTTCAATGGGTTATCATAGTGTGTGCATTTAAATCCTTGACGGTTTAGTAGAATACGGCTTGAGTTCTCTTCCAATCCAACAAAGTTTGAATTACGAATAGCAGAGTCTAATCCACTGTTGGATCTTCCTTTTCTTCACATGACTTGAGGTGAGAAATATTTTAAAGGAAGATTAATTTTAAATTCAACATTTGTTTTTAAACTTTTGAGCGCAATAATCCACTCGGTGAAACCATTTGAGTTTAACATTCATCAGTGACGCCAATGTGGCTCACAACACTCGTTCTGTTACATGGATAGAAATTAGTGAAGTTTTTCAACTTTTTAATTGAGTTATATACAATAGGTAACAATTCAGGTCTTGGGTTGTATATCACAACCTTGAAAGCTGAAGCAACAATGGATTACAAAATGAATGTACACACCTTAATTACATTCAAATTTCTTTTTCTCCAATGAAATATGAAACGTTCTCTCTCCATATCTGATTTTTCTAAAAAAAAAAAAATAAATATCGCCATTTTGAGTACGGTCTTAATGGTTTCCATGCATGCCATGTTCAGGCGTGCTTAATGCCATTCCTATAACAGGCGGTACTTCCTCCATTACAGTCAAGATTGAGAATAAGGCCTTGTGCCACCTCTTCCGTGTAATCCGTGTTGAGATCTTCGTCGTCTTCAGCATCCGCGGGCACCGCCCCATCTTCGGCCCCCGGCAGTTTGATCAGAGTGGGGCTCAGGGTGAGAACCACTTTCGGATCCAGAAGATCCCTCACGACATCGGTGCCAGTGGTGGTGGGGTCGCGCCGGATGCTGTGGTTGTTACAACTGGAGGGCGTGGCGCTGCTGGCGGTGGCTTTACTTTTGTTTTTGGCGTGGCGCTTAAGGAGCGTCGCCTCCGCGTCCAGCGGCCTCAGCTTGGAGCAGGTGAGAAACAAGCAACTGAACCTCGATTTGACCTCCTCCCGGAAGTGCTCGTTGAGCCAGCAGTAGACGAACGGGTTGTAGCACGTGCTGCTGATGGCCACCCAGTGGCACGTGAAGAACGCCACAGAGCTGTACTGGAATGTGTCCGGCTTAGGGTGGAAATCTGTGAGCAGGTGATACATGTTTAACGGCAACCAGCAGATGGCGAAGACAACGACCACGGCTATGAGAAGCTTGATGCTTTTCCTCTTGGCCCGGGCCTGGGAGAGCTGCTGTTTGGCAGTGACGGCCCCGACGTGAGTCCGCGCCCAGAGGCTCTGAACGATCCGGCCGTAGGCGATGGCGATGAGCGTAAAAGGTAGGCAGTACTGAAGGATGAACGTCGTCACAGTCAGAAACTTCTCGAATCCTGCCCACGGCCGGGGATCCTCAAACCTGCACCGGCGGAATTCTTTTGTGATCAGGAACTTGACTCTGCGCACTCGCATGTACATTCCGTAAGGCAGTGACAAAAAGATGGCCACCACCCAGATCAGGACGAGAATGGTGAAGGCGAATCTCCGCGTCATCCTCCTGGACAGCGGCTTCAACACAACCCTGTGTCGGTCTAAGGCTATGGACGTCAGCGTGTAGGTGGACACGTAGCTGGTGAGGATCAGAGAGAAACTCACCAGGTGGCAGGGAACTTCTCCGAAAGGCCAGTCATCCAGCAAATTCCTGGCAATATTGAAGGGCACGTTGACGAAAGTGACGAGGAGATCGCTCACTGCTAGATTGGCGATGAAAAAGTTAGTGGCCGTGTGGAGGCGTTTGTTCTTGAAGATGACGTAGCAAACTAAGGCATTTCCAAAGACTGCGATGACGCAGAGAATTCCGTAGGCTGCCAGGAGGATGACAGCAGCGTCCACGGGCAAGAAGTTGCCCCTCTGTGAGTCGATGTAGCTTAGGTTTCTGTTGGGAGTACGTAAGCTAACAATATTTTTGTCGATGACGAATTCACTGCCATCAACATCGATAGTGGCGTCTGCATGAACAAAAGAATAGAAAATATAAGTGAGTGAATATGATTTTTTAAAAATTAAAAATAAAATAATTTTGATAGTATATTAATTATGGCAACATTTTAATGTAATTATATTAATGTTATACCATTGATAGTAAATAATCGCAGTGACTCAGTTGTAGGGCAGTTTGGTAAAAAAAAAATGTGGTTTAGTGATACTGTTATTCTGGAGCTCGTATCAAGGCAGTCGGTGCTTTTGAGGAATGGGTTTAATGTATTTTCTTCTTCTTGTAGATTTAAAAAAATTATTTTAACCATCGTGCGAAATATTTCATTGTTTGTTAATGTAATGGTTGTCTTCGGTATAGATTTAATCCCACAAAAATTAATCAAAATGAAATGCAGGGTTTAGCTTTTCATAAGCCAAATGTATCCTCAAATTAAGTTTATCTTTTAACGCAGTTTTGTTTGTTTTTTTAAAGGTTTATGATTTTTAAAAAGCGAATTTCTGTTTACATTCGAATTATTGATTCTCGCAACAGCTAGTTCTAAGAAACCCGTAAGTTTATTTAAAATAGAGAGTAACTAAGTTATCTCTTGCCCACCCGACACTGAAAAATATCCACTGCATATAATTATAGGTTCCTAATGGCATTTCTCTGCTGATGATCTTTGAGCATTCCACAACAAGATATTTTTGCTTATACCCTGTCATTAGCATAGTCCATCACTCCCATAATGATTCCTATTTTCTCTTAAATCATTTTACTCCCGATTTCCTAAATTAATATATTCCTAAAAAATGTTAGCATAATCTGCATGAATTTCCTACGCCTTATTTCATTCTTTTTTTTTTAAATCGCCTTCTTTCATCAATAATGTCATTCTCCCTCCTATCGAACTTGGTATTATCTCTATTTAACATTATTTCCTGGAGTAACCATCCTTTCTCAAACATGTTACAAAATGATTGACACATGAATGTATAACCATTATTTACTGAATATCAATGGATGTTGCATCGCAGACCTCGGCAACGACCTGAACTCAATTATCAGATAGTCTGCCTAGCTGCACTGTAGATGTACAACAAAAAATGGACCTCCCAAAAGAATCACAATTTTACGTTCAACCAGCGTACATCACTGCTACGACTTTGTATGCCGTCGTTAATGATCCTGAAGGACCAAAAAAATAATTAAACTTTTTTCTGTGTACAAAATTTTGGACGATAAAATCACCGATTGTACACCCACTTATTTCACAAGTTGTACTCAAAGTACAACCTATACGAAATCAACGGTACAATACAAACCGCGGCATTTTATTTTTGTAACTCATTGAAGCAGCTGCAGGATAATTTATTTTCAACATTTGTGTACAATGAATGTGATAAATATTAGATGATGTAAGGTAAAAAAAAATATTTTTTTTTAAAAATCAATTTAAAAATGCCATGACTGATTCGATCATCTCTCTCTACTTAACATAATCAGGGTTTAATGTTTTTCATAAATGACAATCTATTTTTAATGAGTATTGAAGCAAATGATGATAAACAGTATTTTAATGAAGCATTCCTACAGCATTTTTACAGCATTTTTTAAACAATTTTTTGCCAGCAATTGATTGAAGGTATGCTTGACAATTCCTTTAAAAGGGACAGAAACCATGTTCACATTTTTAAAGATTTCTGTCAATATTTCTTGAATACAAAAAATCAACACCTATTTAATCATTCTGTTCTTGCACGCCATTTAACGATTCAAAATTCAAAACTAATAAAAGTCAAGTTGAGAATGTCCCCAAGAAAGAAAGCAGGCATTGTCCGCAACGGAAGCGTCGTTTTAACGTGGCGGATCTGCGCTGCCATGTCGGAAGTCGGCCAGAATCCTCCGATCGTAAGGGGTGAAAGACTCCGGTCTGTTTTGAATGCAAGCAACAATTCTCACAATGACAAAGCACAAATGGACATTGAACAACATTAGGCCTTCGATTTGTCTTTTGACGTTGAGTTATGACTGGGGTAGGCGACGTAATTAAGTAGACATGCTTTTCTTTTCTCTTTTTTTTTTTAATAGGCGCAAATTTACTTTTGGATAAGAGTAGCAGAACTCAATTCTATTTTGTTTGACCTAACTCTTTTACAACTAATCATAAGGCATCTCCTTATGGTCGTAGCGGTTCGTGGCGGAAAAATTTTGACCTGAACGCTCCAAAGAAATCCTGCATGAGATACAGAGCTAAATAGAACGTAAGAAATAAACGTGTTAAACTTGATAGGACGCGGGCACTTGGTGTGTTCGTTAGCTGAGGCAGCGCGATGTGGTGCCTGGTGTGATTGAATAGACGAGACACTGAGACTTCAATGGCAATGTGTTATGACAGTGCCATGTGGTGCTTGGTGTGATTGAATAGACGAGGCACTGAGACTTCATAGAGGAATATTTTGAGACATGACAGTTTTATATATTTAGCACGATACGAACATTAAATGACTGTGCGATGCCAGTTAATGATATTTAAATACTAATAAAATAAAAAATATTTGAACTGACTGCACGTAATGTTAGTGTGTTAAAATTTAAACCTCTCTGTAACATTAACACTATGAAACAAACTTTAAAAAACATGTGATAAAAATATTTCCACATTGATATAATGTACGTATATTTCCGAACTGTCCACGGAAGGTAAAATGTCAACATTGTGACAACACCAACACGTTTGAGTAATGTAGGGCTAACTTTAAGTTTCAGTATGATGAAATACAATAAAACAACGAGAAAAGTTACGTTGACTTCATCGCCCGAGTCAACTTTATTTCACTCTATTTAAAAGTTACGTTGACTTCATTTCCCAAGTCAACTTTATTTCACTCTATTTGCAATTATTCCAAAACTGCTCAATAACTCCGTGGGCAATGACCAGATGTTCTAAAACATTTTCGACTGACACGTCACAAATTTGCCCCCCCCCCCCTCATTTCGAATGTGCATGATTCGCCACGTAGTAATAAAATAAGACACTAAAATGTATTTTCAATTAACTGTGAGTAATTTTAACATTGGCTGTTCGATCTCTACATATCTCTCTATCTACCACTTGTAGCCGGCGGGCCCCAGTTAAGGAAGCCCTGTAATGAAGAAGACTCATAAACTGGCGGTTGTCTACGTCTGTCATAGAAACTGTTTGTTGTTTGGCTCCCTAGAAAATTGCTCGGAACTTTCCTTCGTTTGGTCATAATTGCCCATTTGCCTGTGCCGGGACGAGAAATGAACTTCGGATGGTAGTGTGGGGGAGGATGAAGGTGCATTGTCGTTGAATATAACTGGAAAACCCAACCTGCAGGGGCGTTGAGTTCAGAGGCGTATAGAGATTGTGGTAAGAGGAGGGAGGGGGGTAACATCGGCGAATCATGACATAATGACACTGACAAGACATAACCACACTGACATGACATAACTACACTGGTATGACATAACCACACTGACATGACATAACCACACTGACATGACATAACTACACTGGTATGACATAACCACACTGACATGACATAACTACACTGCCATTACATAACCACACTCCACATGACATAACCACACTGGCATGACATAACCACACGGACATGACATATCCATGCTGCCATGACATAACCACACTGACATGACATAGCCCCACTGACATAACATAACCACAATGACATGACTTAACCCCACTGACATGACATAAATAAATACGCTGGTATGAAAAATCCACCACACTGACATGACAATATCCCCACTGACATAACCTAACCACAATGGCATGACCCTCACTGACATGACATAAATACACTGGTATTCATAATCCAAACTGCCATGACATAACCGCAATGCTACGGCATAACAACACTGACATGACATAACCACACTGACACGACGTAAACACACTGACAATGCTTCAATACTTTGATTTACTGCTGTCTGTGCCTCTTTTTTTTAAAACGAAACGTTCCATGATTCCTACTCATTATTTTCTCATTCAACTCAACGTTGGCAAACTCAAAAAATCAACACCTGGGGTTCTTGAATCAAAGTCTGAAACAAAGTGGAAGGAAGCCACGAGACCAGTGAAGGCTGTTTATAGGTATCTTCAAGAAAAACTTGTAGTTATTCATGACATGAAGGACGGATATAAAAAATTGAACAAAAATGTAATGCGACTGTTAAACCACTTGTTAATTTACGATAGTCTAAGTTTGGTGTGAATATGCAACAAAGTGCCTAATGGTATTGTAACAAATTATCTATTCATATTGCAACAAAGTACCTACTCATATTGCAACAAAGTACCTACTCATATTGCAACAAAGTACCTACTCATATTGCAACAAAGAACCTATTCATATTGCAAAGTACCTACTCATATTGCAACAAAATACTTAATGGTATTGCAACAAAGTACCTACTCATATTGCAAAAAAGTACCTAATCATGTAGCAACAAAGAACCTACTCATATTGCAAAGTACCTACTCATATTGTAACAAAGTACCTACTCATATTGTAACAAAGTACCTACTCCTATGCAACAAAAAACCTACTCATATTGCAAAGTACCTACTCATATTGTAACAAAGTACCTACTCATATTGTAACAAAGTACCTACTCATAATGCAGCATAATTCTTAATTGTAACAAAGCAGCAGCTACTCATATTACCGCAAAGTACCTAACCATATTGTAACAAAGTACCTACTCATATAGGTCGTGTTTCAAAGTAAATGCAAGGGCAAACACGACTGTTCATGATGCTGCCATGTATTATGCAGCTCTATATTATCTATTTTATGAAGTCCCAAAGAAACACTAGGCTGGTCACCATTGGAGAAACGACGACGACAATCCA